ATAAGAAAGAGACTGTTCCTATTAAAAGCAGTGTTCATCTTGATTTTTGTCGTTGTGCTCTGTTGAAATCTGTTTTAAAATATATGCAATCAATAATTATTTATATAGAATGATGTTACCAAAGAACGAATTCAGCCTCATAAAGAGTTTCAATAAGCAACCTTATTTGGACATCAGAACCTGTGCATCACATTTGACCAAAAGATGTTTATTTTCCTGTTTTTGAATGCAGTACCAAAAACTTTACAATGACAAGAGATTATCAAGGTAGGAGAGTGAATCCCACATATAGACCTTCTACCCAAGGTAATCCCTCTTAAGTTATTTTTAGACATTATACCCAGTTCTTCCATGGATATCACTCGCGCGTTGCGTGAATGTTTTCGTGGAGGATCTGTTTATGTTTCGTTTCGTTTCGTTTCAAAGCAAAGGAAAATCTCCAACGCTGTGGAGATGTCTTCTTTGATATTATGATTACAAGCAAAAGAGCTTCGGCTCTCGGTATGTTTTAATACGTTTCGAAACTATAATAGGAGTTTACGAGACGAAATAAGAGACGGATGTCCTCTGCTCAAACAATAAGAACTGAATGAAAAACAGATAAATGTTTAGACAAACGAGTGCAAAGCAAACAAACCCCCAAACACAAGCTAGGCAACCGAAGAAACAGATGGTCGAAAGTGCAGGCAGACGCTCGCTGCCCAAGTAGCAAAAAGCAGTTTAAGCAACAACGGCAACAACGATAAAGACAACGTCGATAAAAAAAACGACTTAATATTCAACCCACAAATCTCGCTAGAATTTAGATTCATTCAGTTTGTCTATACTGTCAAAAATATCCCAATCAGAATATGTAAGACAGCTTCAAAATTCGAAAAATAAATTTAAAAAATTGGCTGTCGTATGCATAGTTCACGTTCTCTCGAAGATGCGGAATGTGGCTAATTCACGTTGTTGTTTTGTGACGTTTTGTAAACAACGGCAAAGAAATGAACAAAGAACTATAACGCACGCTTACACAGCCATTGTACTCGTTGCCATTGCCGTTGCTGTTGAAGATTGCTTAATTAAACTCCCTAAAACCGAATTTAAACGGCAAATAATGAACAGCCAAACGAGCACAAAACAAACGAAAGCTCGGCCGAGCAAAAAGGCGGCTGAGAGCTCTGGTATGAAACGAAATCAAAACATGTAAAATGATGTTCCCGCCATTTCGTCTCAGGTAGTTTCCAGAAAGTCGCTTCGGCTGTCCACGCACCGCGCGAATAACATCCTCGGAAGAACTAGGTACAGTGTCTAAAAATAACTTAAGAGGGATTACCTTGGGTAGAAGGCCTATATGGGAGATTCACTCTCTTACCTTGATAACCTCTTGACAATGGTCAATTTCTCTTCTCTTTTTATTCAATTACCTTTATTACATTCATCCAATAGACCATTTCCGAGTTGCCTTTTGCCTCTAGGTCAAACGAGTCTAAGTGCAAAACCATTCATATTTCTTACGCCCTCAGGTTCATTTTCATGCAAATCAAACTTAGTTCCGCACGAAGACTCGTTTTGAAACTGAGGCAGACAGAAACATTCGTCCATGAGCTGGCTCACAGGAGCCTTTGATTTGGATCATTATGGACATTGAGTTCATTTTGGTGAAAAACAACAGGCAACAGCAATACTCTATAAATCACAAGTGATAAAATATAATCTTACATCTAACAGCACTTGGCCAATATCCAGCCATCTTGGCCTCATACTAGATCAATAACCCATTTATCTACTGGCTTGTTTAACACCCCTTAAACGAGCCTGCTGTAGCAAGTAAATAGCTAAAAATGCTCCTTTAAGAAAATGTTTCCGACAAAGACAATAACTGGACCAAGAAGAGTAAGCCATATAGACTTGAGTTGTGTAAGTTGAAGGCCAGCTACCTTAAATCCCACATTTCCATATCGTTGGTGTCTTTCTAAGAGACCGGAAAACAGTACTTTCTTCTCTTCAGTTTTAAAAACAAACCCTCTTTCACGTTGATCATCACAGTCAATTGTCGTAACCGTGTAAATCAGATGGCTGAGCTGCGAACTGACTTGCCCTAATTTATACAGTGGAAGGGAGAAAAGGAACACCGTTTCACAGAGGAACACCCCAAACGTTCCTAAACACTCAGAGAGCACTACTCCATAGTAAATACTTCTTGATGAAGGAATATGCTCAAACATCTCCACACTGGAATAAACACTGATTGTTCCCCACAGCACCAACAGGAAAAGAAGCGCCACGATTAATGGTTGGAATGCCAGGGAAGAATTTTGAATCCTCCTTGACAATGTTTTGAATTTCCTTAGGAGTTCTGTTAAACTTTTGTCACTTTGCTGTATCTGTTCGTTGAAGTTCTTCAGTTCCAGGATATGAATTTCAACCACGAGAACAAGGAAGAAAAACGCTGGCATGGCCATGACTCTGCTATAAACAAGAACAAAAAACTCCACACTCTCCACAGTGACGTCCCAATTTCGAGGAATTCCACTTGCGTGTTCTATGAAAATCGGAATCAACTTCTGTAACAAGGGCAATGCAAGGAGAACAAATGCTGTTGCTGCCATATGATCATTGATCAGACGACGTGATCTTTGCCACTGAATGAACGAAACGCGCCCTTTGTTAGTTAAAATGTCATTTATGTGTCCTCGATGAGCTTCAAAGAACCACAAGCCAAGATGATGAAGAATTACATAACGCAGCGTCCAAAGCAAGCGATGCATCACTGCCACAATTGAGGTGAAAGTATTTGTACTTGCCAAAAGGGCTGATAAACCGTTAAACACATTAAATATCTCAAAGCCCATCGCTGCCCATAAACTTAATGCAACAGCTGCCCTCATAATTTTGTACAACATGAAAGCAAACTTACCAGAGTAATTTCCTTCTTCTCTTGGCTCGATCCACTGAAATGTCAACCACATGTAGGTATACAGACTGGAGCCTTTCAGGCTCATTCTTGGCGGCACTAGTGGGTCGTCATCTCCGCCATTTGAACTATGAGGAGTGGAAACTGTGAACGTTGCGCCTCCTTCCGTTGGGTTTCGATTTGCAATTGAACTGCTGCCAGTGAACGCCTGATCGATAAGGGTTGCTACATCTTCACTTTCTGCTTCGCTGCCCTCCTGCCCAATCACCAATATTACACTTCTTGAATCGGAGTTTTTACCCTTCGTCTCCCTCAATTTTACGTGCGCGTTTGCGTCATGTAGCGCCCCGACAAGATCTGTTAGTCGAGTGTTGCTTGGCACGTAGACAGGAAGAAGATGATTACCATGAGGAACATAACAAGTCACACTGGCACTTTCGTAAGTTGAACACGCCATAATTGTCACGTCCAGAACCGTACTCAATAAAATTTTGTCGATCGATAAGAGTCGTGAATTTATAAGTGCTTGATCACGTCTTTCAAAACGAAGACAATTTCATTCAAGTTCTCAGAAATGTTATGCTTAGAGTTAAGACATTATGCAGTGTGCGAAAACGGACAAACCAAATTCTCGGAATAAAACCAATGACATTAGCATACTAATGAGGAGTTATGATAATCAGTTATTTTTGTCGGTCACGCGATCATAACTTATAGGGACAAGAATATTCAAAAGCGAGGCTACCACCGTAAAGCTGTAATCGTAGTAACCCTAACCCTAACTCGTCTTTCAATAATTATTTTGATTATTTTAAGGCAGCTTCTGAACTGTTGGGTCACTGGTGCGTGTACCTTTCGTCCATTTCATTTCCGTAAAAAATCAAAAAGCAAAAAGCAAAAATGTAAAACATGACTTTCAATTATTGAATTAAATAAAACTCAAAATGAAAAGTAGGTGTTCATTTTCCGTGTCTTTTGTTCAAAACGGAAATAAAAAAAAAACCTATACCATTTCGTTTATTTTAATTTTCCAACTAAACATTCTAAAGCAAAATCAAAAAGCGCCACGTTTTTCCCAACAGTTTCGAATGCCAAAAGACAGAATCTTGTTCTTTTATCATTAGTTCTAAATACATGAATCTACAGAACATAGTAGCGTGACCAAAATATCAATTTTGATTACCGTATGCGATGAAACTCAAATAGCGAAATCTTAC